GTATAAATCCTCATACAGACTCATGGTATAAATCCTCATACAGACTCATGGTATAAATCCTCATACAGACTCATGGTATAAATCCTCATACAGACTCATGGTATAAATCCTCATACAGACACATGGTATAAATCCTCATACAGACTCATGGTATAAATCCTCATACATCTAGATGCAATAAATCTTCAAACTGACACACATCTTTGTACAATGTCCTTGGGTGTCCTGAATGGTGCTTTTCTAATAAAACATATTTTCATTATTAAAGCAGTATTAAGAATAATGTATTCTGGGAAATGAGTGAAATTTACCTGAAATAATTTTCCTCTGAAGTAGTGCTTTCTCCCTTCAGGTTTTGAAGGATTAAAATGAAACAAAGGTTGTTTTTTTAGCAGTTTTAGCATGTTTCAGGATTACTGAGCAGAGCAGATTTTACAGTCAAACAGCACAGCAGAGGCTTAAAGCTGAGCTTCAGGCGACAGCCCTCACCAGCCTTTATTGTACACACTGAAAAAACGTGGAGCAACACCTAAAAGTCACCCATCTTTTTATTTAGTGTTCTGCTGGTGGGTTGTGACTCTGAGCAAAGTCTTTCTTTGTCAGCTGCAGTTTATYGATTCTCTGATAAATGCTTCAGTTTTTTACTGCAGGGTTTCTCTTCTGTGTTTCTGCCCTATATTTACCTTGGAGACTTGATGGAAGGTTTAATTAAATACATGGTTTCCTAATTCTTCTTTCCTTTTTTCTATCGTTATAATGGTTGTGGAGTAGTACTTGAGAATATTTGAAGCTGCAGCATTGAATTGCTCAGAATTCAGATTATGTCAATGTAACCTGCAGCTTCTCTAATCTCTTAATGGTTTTTCCAGGACTTTGTCTAACTGGGTCTATGAACTGGATAAATGGGCACCATCTGTTGTCAAAATAGCTTACAAGGTAAATCAGATCTTTTTCTCTTTATGTTTTCGAGTCATTTAATGATTCCAGGCTGGTGTGTTTGTGCTGGTTGTGACAGGATTGTTGTGTTTTTGTCTCATTTCAGGGCACCCCTGCTCTGCGCCGTGGCCTTGTGCCTCAGCTTCGCAGTGGAAAGTTTAACGTCCTTCTGACCACCTATGAATACATCATCAAAGATAAGCACATACTGGCTAAGGTAAAGCTCTGTGCTTCTTTACAACACACTGTCAAACTTTCACTTTGTTGCACCATCTCAGGTGTGCACCGACTTCACTTAATATTCCTCACTTTCAGAGTTCTTATATTAAGTTGGACTGAATTTAAATTAGTTACCCTGATAGAAATTTTACAATCAGTCATTATTTCTTATTTATTGTTTTCTTATGGGTCAGAAATTTGAACCATAAAGGTCTTGAAAAGGCTAAAAAAGCTTACTAAAACAAGCAGAAACGCTGATTGATAAATAAAAGTTTTACACTCAAAATAAATGTTTTTATCTGTGCTGCTCTAATGATTTAATATTTTATAAGAAAATTAAATGATTTTTATAATAAGTTGAAACATATCAAGGAGATAAATATAAAAACTAGAAGGATGGAATCCAAAGCTCCTCATTTTTTATTATGTTCTACTCCCCCAGGGTCAAAAACAAGAGAAAAAAAGAGCACATTTCATCAATTTATGATTCTTTATCTCTGAAAT